TCATCATCGTCGCCGTCACGGGCACAGCTCCGCCGTGAATTGAACGTAGCAAAAACATTTGCCAGTTGTAGCAAAAATCGACAACGGTTGTAGCAAAAAATTCTAGTTCTGGCACAGAACCCACATGGTTGTAGCAAAAAAAATGTGTGCTGGCTCCAGCAAAACACAAAGCCGATGGTAGCAAAAAATTTGGCCGTTTCCACCAAAAATCCAAAGATGATGGTAGCAAAAAAAGATCCATGGTTCCAGCAAAAAAATGAGATGGTGGCAGCAAAAATTGATGCTCATTCCAGCAGAAAAATAAAACTGATGTAGCAAAAAGAAATTGGGGGTTGTTCCCCGCACATGACAACGCCGCTCGGTGGCCACCGGCGATGCTGTGGCTGGTGGCAGCAATTCTGTGGCCGGTTGTAGCACATGCGGATGCGGGCTCCAGCAAAAATTCTTGCACACGCAGCCATCACCGGGGAAAGGTGGAGCTATGACCATGGCGGGTTGCAGGCTCGCAGCACCATAGGACACAAAAAGAAAGGGAAGAAGACGGGGGAGCGCAGGGCCACAAGGGCAGAAAAGGGGGGCCGGGGTGGGCATCGGCCACGGCCACCACATAGCAGAAGGGGAGGAGGCGAGCCTCATCGATGTCTTGATGGTGGCAGCCATGGCGGAGAAAGGGGGTGTGGGGAAAAGAATTAGAGGAGGGAGATGATGGATGAGTGCGTGGATGGATAAGGGAAAGGTGGGCGGTACGCGGGTCCCACAGGACACAACGTAGTACAACGTGTGAGAAGCAGGAAGCGTTCGATCGATGTGTTGCATCGTACGTGCCATGTGCGACCGGCCCAATCTTCATCCGACGCACCGGCCACAAACTTTTACCTAACAACAACACTCGGTCGTCGTTCTTCCCCTTCTCTTGCATCATGCGCCTCCGGTCCGTCGCCGCACCCGTTGTCACCCTCCCTGCTGAGGGTCGCCCAGTCGCCGTCCAGCCACTTGACCGGCGCGAACATCCCCAATTGACCGGCGCCTCCCGTTCCAGCGCTGCCCAAGGGACTTCCTGCCGCCCCCTCCCCGTCCAGACACTCCGCCGCTGCCATTACCATCGACCGTCGCCTCCTCGTCGTTCGCACCGTCCAGCCACTCCAGCGCCGCCTCGCCCCCCATCAATCGGCGCAGGGCCTCCCTCGTCTTCCAGATCTCCCTCCTGTTTCCCTCCCAGTCCGGCGCCTCCAAACCACCCAAAAAAGGTTGCAGCTTGCGGAGGGGAATTTTTGGTCTATGGGGACATTTGCACCCTATATGGGAAAAGAATTAGTAATTCAACAAAAACTCAAAAATTCCTGAAAATATTTTTGAAATAAACTTGACCTTCTATTGTACTCGTGAGAAATAAAATCCACAAAAAAATCCTTTTGACTTCTTTTCAAAAAAGACAATTTTTTGGCTAAAATAGTGTGAATAGTGACCTATAATAGCAAATAAATTTTGTCTTTTTTGCTGTGAGGTCAACTTTTGTTTTTTTCATCGAGATTTATATATCAGTGCAAAATTAAGTCAAGTGTTTTTCCAAAATAGTTCTTACCTATTTTGACTTTTTATTAAAATATTTTAAAAAATCCCCATATAGGGTGCATATACAACCAGGAACCAAAGTGTATTTGCCTGCAGCTTGCGCACTTCTTCCAATATGGGTGTCGAATCCTTAGCAGAGAGTTCACTAGAAACAGCAATGTGGTCATTGTTTAGTACTTGAGACTTCTCTTGAGGTTAAAAAATGCCATTTTTTATTCTTTTGAAAAGATTGCAGTGCAGCAGTCCTCGAGACTGTGATTACTTTATGATTCAGTTATAAATATTTTTGTTTTATGATCCCACTGAAAGGAGTTGTTATTTTAGTTGCCATCTGTCTATGTAGCGTGTTGTGGAACTTTAGGTTTGTAGGATGCACCAAGTCTGGTTGCCTTCCATTGTTGTCACTAACAGAGCTGTGATGTATATAATTTATTTGCAAGTTTCTTGAAAATCATTGTCGTTGATAGAGCTATGATGCATATGCATGTCAATACACGCAAGTTGTACCTACTGTAACCTGGTTAAAAGCGGAAGCTCATGTATCACTAGTGCAGAACCGGGCTTTAGTCCCGGTTCGTAAAGGCCTTTAGTGCCGGTTCCATAACCAGCACTAAAGGGTGGGGACTAAAGCCCCCCCCCCCCACCCCCCTAGTACCGGTTCGGCACGAACCAGCGCTAAAGCATGGAGGTATTTATTAATGAACATTTTATTTTTTTATGTTTTAAAGGTGTTTTGTTATGATTTATTCTATCCACCGATATGGTTAACACGATTCAGTTAAATTTTTTGTTATTTTCAGGAAGGAAAATGAGTCGTGCAACCGTGCGCCCGATGTCGGTGGAGGTTCCGGTGGGCCAGCAGCCACACGTCAATGTTAGGATGAACGACGTGCCAGGGAAACCTGGTACACCTTTTGGCCATGTCTTGCAGTGTGCTCAGTCCCTCTGCGCCGGCATCTCACTTGCTGTCATAGCCACCACCATCACCGACTCCGCACCCGTTCCCTACTTTATGTTAGCATTCTCTCTTATTTTCTAAAATCACGTTTTTAATTCTTTTACATATCAAACTAATGATCTGTTTTTTGGCCAGCTTTGTTGCTGCAGTTGCTGGTCTGTTGTGCACGTGGAGCTCGGCACTGGCCATTTTGGACCTGTAAGCTCTGCTTGTGAAGCGTCGTTTACGGCATCGTTTGCTGGATCGGTTCTTTGCCACTGGAGATGGGGTATAAGCATGCATGTTCGCACTTCTCTGTTTTTCTATTTCGTATCAATCTATTTGAGTTAATTTCGTTTCTTTACAGGTGATAGCAGTAACTCTTTTCGTCGCAGCTTGCATGTCAGCTGGCGAATCTAGGTTCATCGTCAACCCTGAGCTATGCGAGACAAACCACTGTGATCGCTATACGATTTCGATAGTATTTGCATACCTAGCCAGTTTTGTGCTTTCAGCGTCATTTTTCCTGAACTTTAGTTCGTTGGGAGCTTTGCCCATTTAGACTAGGGTGAGTCGGTTGTCTTTTATTTTGTTGCCTTTTATGCAACCTTGGATATTTTGTGACAAAGGTGTCCAGTGAATGCCATGTTCCGATTCACGAACCCAGCGTCTAGTGAATTGGTTCGATTCGTACAAATCAGGTAACTATGCTTCCAATCACTGTGTAGTCCATCTAGCTAAGTTGTCCCTAGAACCAATTGAAAATTTCTGTAATGTAAACCCTCTGAGACTATGCTATCTAGCTAAGTTGCCGCAGTCTCAGCATTCCTCTGTCTTTTTTTTTAGAAAAGGAGGATGACCTCCGGCCTCTGCATCTGGGCGATGCATACGGCCACATTCCTCTATCTTATGTGTTGTTAAAGCTTTCCACCAGTTAGTTTGATGTTAGCCTTCTTGTATTGTGCCTGCAAATAACTTACAATATGTGCTCCTAAAAAGCAGCCCTACTGTTTTTGCATGAGAGGATGAAATAGCTTCTAGTGTAATTTGCCTGGAGGGGATTTGATTAAGGTGGTGAAGGTAGCAAGTAGGCATTGGTTTAAGCTGATCTTCAAATCAGGATGTTTTATCTCTTATGAAAGAATAGGTGATAGGCAAGAGCAGTTTCGGCGACGGTGAATTTTCTGTGGCCGAGCCGTGTTGGTCCCATTTACATTTTCAGCTCTGTATCATAGGTGTGTTCTGAAGCAAGCAGCTTTGCCACGAAGGCAGACGCAGAATCGTTCAGATGTGTATGTTTGCTGATTCTTCCAGCAGGTTGTAACTTGCAGACCGAACCGTAATCCTAGTTTAGGAATTTCAGTGTTCTGCGATCCATTTGGTTGTGATTATTTTTCTCGCCAATTTGAATTTTTCTTCTTGTTCTTATGGTTACTTGTTCATAAGAAAATTCTGGGTATATTTGCCATGCTAAGTTTTTTGATACCCTTGTCAGTTTGCTGGTGTTGTTACCGTCTTGACTAATTTTACAGTGAACAAAGATGGCCGAAGTTGTCTACTCTGTTGACCTTGAACAAAGATGACAGTCTTGTTAGGACCTTAGGATTGATACATAAAGATTAAGTCACATCCATTCGGATTGAATGGGATATATTGTATACTTGTGATGTCCATCTGATGTGATATTTTTCCCCCAGTTTTGAGATGAAAGTGAGGTTTTGTTTCCTTTTTCCCTTTAAGATGGAGAAACACACGCACATCTTTCTCTCAAGCGGCCCGCAGTAGCGGGCCCCAACCTCTAGTCCTCTTCATAGGGCTTACTTTTTGGTGCCATGAGAAAGAGCCTACATGTGATGTCATGAGAAAAGAGACTACAGATTAAGAACGAGGCTCCGTTGCCGCGGTTGGAATCTTTTTGTGGTGAAAAAGTAGTGGATGAGATAGGGTGTGTCTAGGGCACATTTAGATATGCCCTAGTTATTGCACATCTAAGTGAGTGAATTCAAGCACAAAGAGAAAAAGAAAAGAAAAAGGAAATATCCACACACGAATCTCGACGTAAGATCAATGACATAAAACTTAGATGTGCAATACTTATGGCACATTTAGATGTGCTTTAGCAAAACTGGATGGGATATTAGGGGCTATTATTGGAGACAGAAAACACGATTCCAAATCGGATTTTGATACCCAACTGGTGATATTTGTCAAACATGCCAACATCAGCAATCAATTAGAACAATCAACCAGATGTGCCGGCTTTTGGGAGCTATCTCAGTTCTGAAGTCAAAAGCAACAGACCAGCAATACCAAACACGAGTATTAGTGCCTTACATGATGAGCATGGATAATTCATTTACGCGGAGATTTATTTTGTCGTCATACTTTATTCTGCACTATAACATTTTACATCATGCCACCTTCCCAAACCCAAACACAGAAATGATGTAACGAAACTAACTTCAAAGAAAGGAAATGGGATGTGGCAGCATCATGGAACAATCTTCAAAACCTTCATCTTATCAATCCATGCGTTGAAGGACTTGGCCGTGTTACGGAATCCAAGGAATCCATGCTCCTTGCTCTTGTTCATGCTATCCAAATGCTCACACTTGACATTGAACACGGCATCGAGGAACCACCAATTGGCAATCTCTTGGAGCTCAGTCGTGACAAGCTCGTTCTCCTGGAGGATCTCTGCCCACACCGCCTCCTTCCCGGCCATGGCGTCGGCGAGCATGAACCGGCTGTCCTCTCCCTCGTATCCCGCCCACTCCACCCCGAATCGGTCAGCCACCATCGGCCAGAGCTGCTTCCACTTGTATAAATCTCCATTGCTGCAATTGAAAGCCTCGTTCCTTGCCAACGGATCGACGGCTGCCCAGATCTCCTGCTCGGCGACAAGATCCGCGTCGGAGGCGTCGCTGAAGCCCTCCCATGCAACCCTGCTCCCAGGCCACCTCAGCATGGCGCCCTCCTTGCGGCAGATGGCGGCATAGACGGATAGGCTGGCCACGACATTCATGGCGCTCCGGGGAGAGAACCCAAAGACCACGGAGGGACGGTGCACAGACCAGCTGACGGCGCCGTCGCGGCGGGAGACCTCCTCAAAGAGGACGTCCTCCTGGTCGTAGTAGAAGTTGGGGTAATCGAGGCGGGGCATATCCTCGGTGTAGGGCGGGTCTGGGACGGGGATCTTGCCGATGGCCTCGTACGGGCCGATGTAGTGCTTGCGGCCGGTCTGGAGGCAGACGTGGGCGAGCGCGGGGCAGCCCGGGACGAGGACGGAGAGCACGTTCCGGAGCATGGCGGAGTTGGCCTCCCGGTTCTGAGCCTCCGTCGGGTGGCTGGACCACGCAGCGTAGAAGACATGGGTGATGTCGGTGAGCGGCTTGAGGGCCTCCGCCACGGCGACAGGGTCGGCCAGGTCCAGGAGCAGATGCGTGACGGCGGGGGAGGGCTGCGGGGACCAGGGAGGGAGCGGGCGACGGGAGACGGCGTACACCTTCCAGGGCCCGCCGGGGGTGTCGTCGCGCGGGAGTATGTCGACGAGCGATGTGCCGACGATGCCGGTGGATCCGATGACGAGGGCGACGCTCTGGAAGGAGAGCTCGGTGCGCTCCTCCTGGCTCTTCTTGACGGCGCCCACCGCGCCCTCCCACCACCAGCTAGCTCATCGCGGGAGTCAGCTAGGCTAGGCTACTATGGCTCACTCGGCACTGAAGCTCACGTATAGGCACAGCACACGCTCGAAGCCTTGGTTGCTTGCATTACAACGGAGGACTCTGGTCATTTTATACACTATATAGTATGAGCTAGTACGTACGCAGTGACGCACGCGTCGTGGCATCTGGAAGAAGGCAATTGCCCTACAACAAGAAGATAGACTAGCAACAACACAAGATAGTTCTAGGTGGCAGCATTATTCAACGACCAGTGCTACGTGTTGGACTGCTTTCCTCGTCACGCGTGAGCGTTCTTGTTGTTTTTCTTGTTCAGATCCACGTGTTTCTTTCTTGTGGTGGCGGCATGGGTGTCGAGGGCGGTCGGGAATTTCTTTTGAAAAAGCCTTAAGCCATAAAATAAGGCGCGGAAGTTCTCTGTTAGCCCACCAGGATACAAGTCTCGGCTTGAGCGTTTGGTGCTCATGAAGTTTTTTCTATAAAGAAATACCAGGATACCCTAGATGGAACGAATAGCCTTCTAAAGAAGGAACGGAAGGCAGACCCTATTTGATGCTCCAGACACTGTTACTATTGTCGTCGAGGTAGCATAGTTAACCACCACGCCCATCACCAGGATCTGTTAGCTTTCATTTCTTTCTTCTTTTATTGGTCCTGTTCCTTTTTCTTTTTTCTTTTCTTCTTTTTCATTTTCGGTTTCTTTATTTTTGTTCTTACTGGCTCGATGAATTGTTTGTAAATACGTGAACTTTTTTTTTCAAATCGATGATTTTTTTAAACTTGATGAACTGTTCCAAATTTGTTATTTTTGGCAAATCTATATATTTTTTAAAAAGTCTATGAACTTGTTTCAAATTTCATGATTTTTCCAATTTGATGATCTTTTTTAAAA